GGCACTTTCAGCAACATATCCCTTGTTGCTGAAAGTGCAAGGTGATAGGAAAATGATAGTAATAAGGGGTTTTTTTTCAAAAAAAAATATTTCACCAAAAAAAAAAAACAAGGGACACTTTCAGCAACATGCCCCTTGTTGCTGAAAGTGTTGAAGTGTAACATCACCGAAAAATGTTAGTAACAAGGGGCATTTTTTTCACAAAAAAATATATATTTTACCAAAAAAAAAACAAGGGGCACTTTCAGCAACATATCCCTTGTTGTTGAAAGTGCAAGGTGATAGGAAAATGATAGTAATAAGGGGTTTTTTTTCAAAAAAAATATTTCACCGAAAAAGAAAACAAGGGACGCTTTCAGCAACATGCCCCTTGTTGCTGAAAGTGTAAAAGTGTAAGATGACCAAAGAATGGTAGTAACATGGGGCATTTTTTTCACAAAAAAATATATATTTTACCAAAAAAAAAAAAAACAAGGGGCACTTTGAGCAACATGCCCGTTGTTGCTAAAAATGCAAAGTGACCGGGAAAATGGTAGTAACAAGAGGCATTTTTTCACAAAAAAAAATATTTTACTAAAAAAAAGGGGCACTTTCAGCAAGTGAATATCAGCAACAAGGAACACGTTGCTGAAAAGTGGAGCTCAATTGAATGGAAAAAAATTCACCGGAAAATATCAGCAAGATGAAGTATGTTGCTGAAAGTAACTTTCAGCAACAAGAAGTATATTGCTAAAAGTGGAGTAGAATTTCAAGGGGTGGGATGTCACGCCCCAGAACCCAAATCCGGGGGCGTGGCAGACGCCGTGCACTCGTGAGAGGGTCCCACAAATGACAAGGCTCGAAACTTACTGAGTTCATACTTAGCAATTCTGGTAATTCAGATCTAAGCCTTTTTAATTACCAACTATATACTAGTCAGATGTACAAGATTTATCATTTCATGTATACAGTCATGACTAGCACTAAATTCTGTACACAAAATTTTCTATGTCAAGCATGGGTGACCAACGGCTTAGCTACAAAAACCTAAATCCAAAAGTGCCTAGCTGTCTAGCTCGTCACTCCCCCGGGCTTCCCACGCGTCGGGTCTCACTACCTGAAATGGTGGACAAGGAAAAACTATGAGATAAAATATCCCAGTAAGTAAAACATGGAGTGCCCTCATTAACTTATAGCATGCCAACAAGTGTAATCACAAAAATGGGTACAATACGGGAACGAAATAGACGTCTCCTCTATAGGTCATAGCCAGTGTATTAAACTTCCCACTGGCAGGCTACACTTGAACGAACCGGTTCTATCAATAACATGTCGACATGTGCTAGCGTTTAACCCCCACTAGCAGGATTACAATCAATAACATAACCATATCGGAGACAAAACAGGCAGAAGTTCACAGAAAATCATTCTTTACCAATCACTTTCAAATCATTAGGACAATCAATCAAATTTCAAGTAGGCATGCTCAATTTAATGAAAAGCATAAAAATTTCATTTCAAATCAATCATACTTACTTTTGTATAAAACGGGTTTAGTCCCGCCACCACTTCAAAAACAAATCAAAACATGCTTTTAAAATCAAAGGGCGTTACCATAATTTACTTACCTTAATCACACAGGACGGAAGGCCTAATCCAAGTGCTAAGGCCACAGGACAATCAAGGACCTAATCACAATATTCCCAAATTAATATCTATGTATATACAATTACACAATTATACATATACAATTTCTCAAACTAATGGACAGGATTGGGAGAACCGGCCTTGACAAAAAGGCCAATTCACAGAATTTTCCCCTTTTTCTCTCGGACATCACACAACAATCAAACCCACTAATTTCCTACACCAATCATCAACCAAAACCCATTTTCCAATTGCCAAAACTCATCCCCCACCTCTGGCATCTTGGTCCTTGACAACCCAAACACCCACACAACTAATTAAGCTCACAAGCAACAATTAACCCACCAATTTTCAAGGATTAGGGAAGCCAACTTACCAAAAATCCCCCAACAAGCAAAGTTGGAGCTTGCGGGACGAGGAAGTGCCGGCGGGAAAAATGGCAGGGGAGCTTCACGCAGACTTCTAGCAATTGGAAGAAAGGAGAATTAGAGTAACTCACACAAACTAAAGCTGAAAAGAGGAATTTATGGGCTGGTTTTACTAGGAAGGAAACCAGCAGCAGTCGGCGGCAAAGGGGGAGGAAACAGAGCAGATCCGGCGGCTTTTCTGCAAAAGAGAGAGGTTCTAAGTCCTAGACTCGTTCTTGGGCAAGAGGAGAACAAAAATCATCAAGTTCTCTTACCAATTTTTGCAGATGGGGACGCTGGAAATGCTGGTGATGTTCGGCAGCAGCAGGGAGAAGAAAACAGAGCAGACGCGAAAAATGGCTGGAAGAAAGAAGGAAAGAAAAGAAAAAGGAAAAAGAGAGGAGTCAGCCGGCCTTATCCAATAAGAGTTTAACCCCTTTGAAGTTTGAAAATTTGACAGTTAGGTCCATTAATAATGTTTCTTCATCATTAAGTCCCTAACTCAACTTAATATGCTTGAAATTTTTTTGGGGTATTACATGGGATGTACATTTTTGTATTGTAGCACTTTCAGCAACATGGGGTTTGTTGCTGATACCTATTTTCAGCAACAAACAATCTCATGTTGCTGATTTATTGTTGGTAAAAGACAAAATTTTAATAGTGTCATACCGTGATATGACAAGATTTTTGGCTAAAATGAAGTGATAGTGCGATTTTAATGGTGTGGGCTTACTTTTTTGTGATGTCTTATGATTTTTGCAAAAATAATGATTGTTATACTCTTTGATTCTAAAACACTTACTAACACCCACTATTGATAGACGTTTTTGTAAAAGGTTAAACTCGAGCTTGGGTAGTCCCCACATCACCAAGACCTGCCTCGATCTAGGCACTCCTTAACGCCTTCAACACAAATTTGCCAAAAGGCTCAACAATATATGATGCTGTAATACATGTCTAGGCCCAGCAATATCTGATGTTGCGATACATGACTAGGTCCAATGGTATCTAATGCTGCAGTACATGGCTGTATCGCTAGAAATACATAAGGAAGTCTTTTTCCTTTATTATTTCCTTATTAAATTTCATTGTTTTTATCAACTAATCACTATTCCTTTATGCTTGTCATCAATAAACCCATGAATCCAAGCTCATGAGAATATTTGGGATAAACCATGCGAATAGTGGCTTGGCAAGCCCGTTTGAATGAACATTGCCTATTTGGCGAAGTGAGGTATTCGTGCCAACGAAGTTTGGCACTGATGATGTTGCCTAACTTCACCAGAGAAGGTTGGGTAGCGAAGATGTGGAGGCAAACTTGATCCCCAAAACAATACCGTTTGATGCCAACTACAAGCTTAAAATCCCATTCAAAACCAACCAAAGATGTTGTCTTGGTCACCATCAGCAATTTGCAGTTGTATTTAATGCAAAAGGTAGCTGTACAAGTTCCATGGTTTTGGAAACTGTTGAAAAAGATCTAATTTCGTTGGGAAAATCTACCAAAATCTTGGGCAAACCTTGGAAATATACCAATATCTTGGGCAACCTTTGGGAATCTTCCAAAATCTTGGATAGACCTAATTTTGCCGGCTGCACTCAAATACCCCCCCCACCCCAAAATGATATTTCGTATGGCTATAGAGCTACCAAAAATGGGCAATGTTCAGCAGATTTGTAGTGCTTCGTTGGAACCAATGAAGCTTCGTCAAAACCATTGGGTAATTCATAATATCACTGCCAAAAAGCTGTCAGCAATGCCCAAAGCCACTCAAAACTCAACAGCTCACTCAAATCCACTCAAACCCACTTGTATACTGATGACCCATCAACCCATAAATTACAAAAATACCATTGCACATATATATATATATATATAATTACAAAAATACCATTGCACATATATATATATATATATACTATTTTTCCTTCATTTCAACAAAACAGACCAGATTTTTCACAACTTCAACTTCCTTCTCACATTCCAAACCTCAATTTTTCCTCTAAAAAATCCTTCATCCTCACCCATTCACTCTACACACCGAAATCTCTTAAGAATCATCATTTTCTTCATATTTTTTGCATTTCCAATACTGCAAAATATTTTTCAAACTTGTAGAACATCATGGCTGGGAGATAGCATGCTACAGCTTCAATTTCTAGGTTATCTTCTTGAACATTAAATGATTAAGTTGAAGAGTTAGCATACAAAACGAGATCAAGCCCTTCATTCACAAGCCCCTACAATGGTCATCCTTCTTCTCCCATCACTACTTTCAAGTTTATTCCTTTTGTCTTGATAAAGCTTGAAGGAGACCATTGTGCTTTTTATCTACAATGTGAACGTTGCTCATTATAGAGTAGGAGTATTTGTCAAGGATAATAGAGGGCACATTCATTGTTTTTGCTATGGTGATACAATATACTATGTAAAAATTTGTTTCTCAAGTTGTAATTTTTAACCCTTATATATATTTTCTATCCTTATTGCTTATACATCAATGTACATTCCATTTTCATTATAAGCTCAACCAAGTTGCTAAGAGAGAGCTTTACAACAATCACCCTCATTATTATTATCATCATCATACATGCAACATAAGGATGGGTTTATTCTCCAATGAAGTCAATCTTCCAAGTTTGGCAAAACATGGCCATATTTCTTCAACTTGTAACATAATAAAGATATTGCTGGACAGCATCAAATTCATCCAATATTTTGCAAAGTTTGGGCATATTCAACTCCATCAACTACAAGTGCAAAAACTTGTTGTCACAACTCACCACACTTGGGGGGCTAATGTTGATGGACATTTTTGTAAAAGGTCAAACTCAGACTCAGGTAGTCCCCATGTCACCAAGACCTGCCTCGATCCAAGCACCCTTTAATGCCTTCAACACACATTTACCAAAAAGCCCAACAATATATAATGCTGTAATACATGGCTAGACCCAACAATATCTGATGCTATGATATATGGCTAGGCCCAACAGTATCTAATATTGCAGTACATGGCTGCATCACTAGAAATACATAAGGAAGTCTCTTTCCTTTATTATTTCCTTATTTATTAAAGGTTAAATACTAATTTTGGTCCCTCAACTTTATGGTTTTGCACTTTTTAAGTCCCTTATCTTCTTTTCTTTTTTTTTTTGGCACTCTTTTGATCTCTCAACTCTAAATGCTACACAATCTTGGTCCCTCCATCAGTTATCTATGACATGGCAGTTAAAAAATTCCACAGTGGCATTTTCTTTAAATTTTTTTATGACATGACAATTACACATCATACAATTTGATTACATGTACAAATAAAATGCCAAATTAGATTAGCATGTATATTTTTAATAAAAAGATAAAAAACTATAAAGTTACCTTAATACCCTTGTCTTCCACTTTTATTCCATCTTCTTCCCCTCTTTCAATCCATTTTCTTCCTTTCTTTCTTCCTTTTCTTTCTTCCTATGTGTGAACCCAGCAATTGTTGGGTTCCCTCAAACCTAGCTAAACCCTTCCTCTGTGTGAACCAAGCAACTGTTGGGTTCCCTCAAACCTAACTGATCTAGGTTCAAGGAACCTAATAGTGCTAGGTTTAAGGGAACCCAACAGATCTGGGTTCAATCGAACCTAGCTCAGGTTCGATGGTCTAGGTTTAGAAGAGAAAAGCTGAGCAATATTTGGCCAACTCTAGCATTCCATACACAATGATCTGGTAGATTGATTCCAATGTTTACTTTCTTTTGTGCATCCATCCCTTTTAGAATTATTTAAAGAGCATGTCTGATTAGGTTCTTTAGATAGGTTTCTACCATAGTTTTTGAAAAGGATAAAAAATGGAGACTACCTTGGGCAAAAGTAAAGGTAGACTACATTCTCTGATTTCTGTATTCTTTTCCCCCAAAATCATTTTCGTTTCTGGCAATATGTGTTAAAATACTGATAATTTTGTTGTAGATTTTTTCTTCATTGCAACTTTATTAAATGGTTTTTCAAAACTTCTACATTATCATTTCTCAAGCATTTGGAGCCTACTAATATGTATTCTATAAGACTGTAACTTTTGCTTGTTTGCATTAGTTGTCACTCATAAGTTGATTTCACATTTGCATGTATAATTGATTCTTCATATTAAAGTCGCAACGAACCCAAAGCAGATCTGGGTTTGCGACAAACCCAGAACAGATCTGGGTTTGTGACAAACCCAGCCATGGCCAAGAAGGGGGATGAGGGGGAGGGAATAAGAGAAATAGTGACAAAGAGAGGAAAAATGGCTGGAAATGGTGGCGGTGGCAAGGAGAACAAAAAGAGCATAGAGGAAAATGATGGCAAGAAAAATAAATTAAGGGAAATTTAGTAATTTTATATTTAAAGAATTGAAAAGAATTAAAAATAACAATTAAATCTAACTTGGTATAGTCCACCTAAGCTAATTGTATGATCTGTCATTAACATGTCATTAAAAAGGTGCCATTCTGGAATATTTAATTGCCAATTGTGACTTAATTGACGGAAGGACCAAAATTGTGCAATTCTTACAATTGAGGGATCAAAAAAGTGAAAAAAATAATTGAGGGACCAAAAAAGTGAAACTCTATAAAGTTGAGAGACCAAGATTAGCATTTAACCTTTATTAAATTCCATCATTTTCATCAACTGATCACTATTCCTTTATGCAGGTCATCAATAAACCCATGAATCCAAGCTCATGGAGATATTTGGGATAAACTATGGGAGTAATGGCTTGGCAAGCATGGATGGGTGAATGTTGTCTGTCTGGTGAAGCGAGATATTCACGCTAGTGAAGCTTGGCGCTAACAATGTTGCTTGACTTCGCTAGAAAAAGCTAGGTGGCAAAGACGTAAAGGTAGACTTGATCCCTAAAATAGTACCGTTTGATGCTAACTAGAAGTTTAAAATCCTGTTCAAAACCAACTAGATATGCTGTCTTACTCACCATCAGCAACTTACAACTGTATTCAATGCAAAAGGCGGCTACACAAGTTCCATGGTTTTGAGAACTATTGAAAAAGATTTGATTTTGCTAGGAAAATCTACCAAAATCTTGGGCAAACCTTGGAAATATACCAATATCCTAGGCAGCTTTTGGGAATCTTCCAAAATCTTGGACAGACCTGATTTTGCCAATTGTACTCAAATACCCCCCCCCCATATGGTATTTCGCATGGCCAGAGAGTTACTAAAAATGGGCAATGTTCAACAGATTAGTAGTGCTTCGCTGGAACCAATAGTGCTTTATTGGAACCAATAAAGCTTCACCAAAACCATTGGGTAATTCATAATATCACTACTAAAAAGCTGTCAACAATGCCCAAAGCCACTCAAAACTCAATAGCTCATCCAAATCCACCCAAACCAACCTGTACACCTCTAACCCATCAACCCAAAAATTACAAAAATGCCACTACACATATATATTTATGTTATTTTTTCTTCATTTTTCAATAAAACAAACTAGATTTTTCACAACTTCAGCTTCCTTCTCACGTACCAAACCTCCATTTTTCCTCTAAAAAATCCTTCATCCTCACTTATTCACTCTACACACCGAAATCACTCAAGAATTATCATTTTCTTCATATTTTCTACACTTTGAGCACTATAGAATATTTTTCAGACTTGCAGAATATCATGGTTGGGAGACAAAACATTATGACTGAGAGACAGCATGCTGTAGCTTCAATTTCTAGGTTATCTTCTTGAACATTAAAGGATCAAGCTAAAAAGTTAGCATCAAAAACAGTATTAAGCCCTCCATTCACAAGCCCCCACAACAATTATATTTCCTTCTCCCATCACTACTTTCAAGTTTATTCCTTTTGTCTTGATAAAGCTTGAAGGAAACCATGGTGCTTTTTATCTACAACGTGACCGTTGCTCATTATAGAGTAGGAGTATTTGTCAAGGATAATATAGGGCACATTCATTGTTTTTGCTATGGTGATACAATATACTATGTAAAACTGTGCTTCTCAAGTTGTAATTTTCAACCCTTATATATACTTTATATCATTGCTGCTCTTACATCAATGTACATTTCATTTTCATTATTTTTGGTAGTTG